ATGACTGGTTTTCATGTTCTGGCAATGTCTATGCACAGTTACAGTTCAGGGTGCACCAGAAGATGTGGTGTGTAGCGGGCATGGAAGTGGCCGGTCTGGAGTGGTACGGGAAGGGGCAGAGGAGGGGCTGACTCCTCCTCCTGGGCTGTTGTCTTCGTGGCCAGTCCTGGCTGTGATATGAAATGCCATGTGTTTGTGCTTTGTGAGGGCAGGGGCTGGTCAAGCCTGTTGGTCTCCTAGATCCACAGCAGGTTATTTGTTGAAGGACGAAGAGCCAGGAGCAGCCACAAAGTCGCAGGAAATGGTGTTCCTCCTCCTGCAGATGACTGTGTGGATGATTCATGTCCTGCCACCCCCTCACTTTCTCAGCCTAAAGCCACATGTTCCGGGGTGTGGGGACAGTGAGCTGACCCCTTCCTCTCTAGCCACAAGGTCTTTACTACACATGGCTCTTCTTGTTTCCAGCATGTTGTGTTTCTTCCCTAGTCAAGAGCTGAGAAAGTGGAGCCTTGGAGAAAACAGCAAGTCCTAGTTTAAGGCTCCCCTGGGCTTTTTCTGAGGTGTCGTCCCGAGGCCGGATCAGAGGGCCAAAACATGGGAACCATTTCAGGCTGTAAGAACTGTGCTCCTGTTCCCTCTGCGGGGGTCCTCTGCCACATCGTCATGCCCGCATCTCTGACACAAAGCCAAAGGAAGGGACCAGGCACTGAGCAGCCAGGGAGGTGGTGCACAAACGTGGAATGGAAGACCAAGTTCTGTGTTGCAGAGAAATGGGCTGACTGGTTTGCCCAGCACAACCCAAACCCAGCTCTTTCTTCGTGTGGGACACTGCCCTGACTCAACCCGTGAGTCTCTACATCTCTACGTTCGTGCTTGGCCAGCTGGGTGCTTCAAAGCACCCCTGCTCCTACCCTGTGCCGTGCAGGGCAGAGCCATGCACACTGAGTGCCCAGTCCTGTGCCGTGTGGCATGAGGAAAGGGGAAATTTCTGGAGCTAGAGAAGCCAGCTGCATCCAAGGCAGGTGGGGAACCGGTGGTGACATAGGCGCCTTCCTGGAAACATTTCTTTGAACATATTTCCTGGAGAAGTTAACTACAGAAGGGTTTTGCCTTGCAAGACAGGTTTCCTATTTTGAGAAGTCTCTGGATAAGAGTTTTGAGCAACTAAAACATGGTCAGGGCACAACTTTTTTTTTTTTTTGTCTCTATGAGACAGGGTCTCAACTATGCAGTTCAGGCTGGCTTTGAACTCACTGTGTATCCCAGGCTGGCCTCGAACTCTTGGCAATGCTCCTGCCTTAGACTCCCAAGTGCTGGGATTACAGGCATGTGCCATCATGCCTGGCCAAGGCAACTTTGCTTCTGGAGAGAACATGTGCTCTAGCTTTCTGCTTCTTTGACTCCAGGGAAAGTGGAACCAGCGTTATAGACTGGTCCCCCAGAGCTGTCCTTTTGTATTCGTCCTTTTCTATGCCATCAATGTTTGAGAAGCTTAAGATGCAGGCTGCAAGTGCAACAGTTAATGAAAATGAGGAAAGAAGGGGGAAGTGCCAATTTAAGTGCAAATAGGAGTTAACACCTAGGTCTATTGTACTTGTTTCTGCACTTCCTGGCATCCTGGGGTTTGTTAGGTTCCTGCACTGGTTTAACTGTGGCTTCATTTTCTGTGCCTTAGTTTCTTTGTCCATGAAATAAGGCACCTCCTCAGAGGTTTTACTGAATGTCCCATGAGATAACACACGCTGAGGATCTGAAATTGTGCCTGGCCTAGGCAAGCATTTAATTGCACTGCAGACATTATTCTCCCCTCATGGGGGCGCCGGAGGGTACAGTGGAGGTGATTCTCCTCCTCACAGGCTCCTACCTTCTCTTCCCTGGTTGTTCTCTCCCGCTGCTCTCATCTAGTCCTGATGGATGGCCTCTGAAATGGCCTTTGATGCTGCTCTGGCTCCACAATGTTCTCAGGCCCACTTGAGCTCCCCCTCCTCCCAGCAGACCTTTTCTAGGACGCTTACTTCATGCATGCTGCCTGGTGACCTCAGATTCATTTCCTTGACTCTAAGTCCCTCTAAACCCAGAAAGTGTTCATGTGGTACTGTCTCCTCCTTTTGTCCTGACTTCTGCAGGTCTGGAGGGGTTTTCTGGTCATCTTCCCAGTTCTTGGCATCCCAACTTTGCCCACTGAGTTAGAGGGATGGAAATATCCCCAGGAAGTTCCAAACCCAGGGGTCTGCAGCCTGTGGAAGGTTGTCCTCTTCCGTCCAGTGTGGGACCCTTGTGCTTGTGGGCTCAGTGGCTGTAACTCACCATAGATCCTGTGGGCAGTCAGGGTTCCAGCTAGGCTGGCGAGCCCATTTACATGAGTTGCTCCCCCTCTGGCAACAGCCCTATTTGCATGGACCTCACCCTCAGCCAGAAGGACGAAGGTTGAAAGAGCTTGGCCCAGATGGCAAGTGGGGGGGTCTGGTCACTGGACACACAACAGGCTTTAAACACAGGCTGTACTGTGAGCCATCAGCTAACTGGTGAACAACACGAAAGATTACTTAGATGTGCTAGATGCCACTGAGAACAGCTACACATTGATCATTTACTCCTGCTGACAGCTTCGTGAAGGGACTCCCCATCTCTTCCTATCAAGAGGCAAGCAAATAGGTAGAGAATGTATTTGCCCTTGGGTACAAGGGTTGGTGAGTAGCAGAACAAGTAGTCTGGGCTCATTTTCTATGTGTTTAAGCACTAGGTGAATGGACCTCCCTAAGCTTATAAAGCATGTTTGCACCAATGCATCGATTATAACAGGCATTGTTTCCCTTACACTTTTTTTGTGGGGAGGGGGTTGAGACAGGGTCTCTATAAATAGTTCAGGCTGGCATCAAACTCAGAGCAACCCTCCTGCCTCAGCCTCTCTAGTGCTGGGATTACAGGCATGTGCAACCATGCCTCGATTCTCTTTGGTTCTCTTGACTTCTTTCCCTAGCATTTCTGGAGAAAGCCAGGATCAATGCTATTGGTGTGTATGTGTGTGTGTGGGGGGTCCTCACACTCCCTTTCTTTTCCATTTCAAGGCACTCTAACTTTCCCTACAGGAGCGTAATGATGCCTCAAGCAAGGTAAGCCCAGGTTTCCACGCTGCACCCCAAGGATCCTCTTGTCCAACCCAAGCCCTCTCCCACCTACTGCACCGCCCCCCAGGGCCCTGAACTGCACTCTTGCACCTTGACCTTGACAGATAGGCTGTTCACTTGATTCCCACCCCAGGTGTCTGGTAAGCATCTGCCAACTTCAACAGCTACTATCAGCCTGGCCAAAACATGCTTGGGAACAGACTGAAAGAAAACACAGTGGGAAAAGTCGTAGGTGATTTCCTTACAAATAATTACGTTGAAAATTACTGTTTTAATTGGTGGAATGCTAGCACGTTTAACAGACCGGTCCTTCTTTGGTTCACCGTTTTCATAACCTTGAAGTAAAGGCGGAGGGCATAGCATATTTTACACTCCAAGGTCCATGCTCTGAGACATGAACCTTCTTTTTCAGGCATGACCTTGCGACCTAAAGCTTTATTGTAACTCACATAACTCTACCAGATGCTCACTCAGGTGAAGTTGGAGCCTTTATGAATGACTCAGACACAGCAACGACTTACATCTTTGTTCTTGTTTCAGTGTCCTGAAGCTACAGATAGTAAAAATGTGGGGTAGGCCCCGGAACATTCTAAACCTGGTATATCTGGCGGGAATATTTTAATCTTGCTACAATCCCATCAAGACCACGACCTAAATCTCCCACTGTATGACTGGTTAAGTCTTGAGTTTCAGCCGTGTAACAAAATGCTCCCACATGTACACGACAAATCTTACTAATGTCAAAACTGCACTGAATATCTTATAGAGGATCAGGAAGCAATCTTTATCTCAAAAGGAAAGGAAAACTTCCAGGACGCAAAGAGAAAATCCCACCTTCTTCCACCCTTTTTCTTTTTTTTTGGTTTTTCTCCGGTACCAGGAACCGAACTCACGACCTTGCGCTTGCCAGGCAGGCGCTTTTGCCGCTGAGCTAAATCCCCAGCCCCCACCCTTTTTTACATGCCCAAACAGGCATAATCAGGGAAAGAACCAAACGGAAATTAGCATTTCCTGCAGACCTACTGGGTTCTAGCTCTAGTCACACCAGTTAATTCTTTGAATTCTGGCCACACGTTTTACATCCTTGAGAATGCGGTCTGCGAATTTTGGGGTTTGCTCAAGGTGACACACTGCAGCAAGTTAAGTCAGAATCTGAAGCCGTGCCCTTTCCTCCGGGTTCCAGCCGCAGCTCAGAGAGAATGCAGATCTGCCGCGGGGAAATTAATGACCCACAGCTATCCTGTGGCAGCTCTGCGCCACAACGGAGCCGGTTCTCGTGACTCAGTCTTTCAGTTTCCACCCAAATGCCTGACTGCTGGAGTAAAGCGACCACGTGAGCCCCCCCCCCAACCCTGGCGGGTGAGGGACAGAGCTTGTCTGGCCAAGGGCAAGTCACAGGTGCGACGATTAGCCAGGACTGGATCCCTAGGGAACAAGCCCTCCCGCTTCGTCACCAGGCGGGCGCGAGGTAGCCCGGTCAGATGTGGCCACCAGGAGCCGCAGGTCCTAACTGCGCTCAAAGTGCGGCTTGAGACGCGACCCGCCACGCAAAACAGGGCCGCGTGGGAGGAACTGGGGATGACCTTGGGTACGTCTTCCGTTACTCCGTTTGATGACCTCCGGGGACCGGGCGAGGGTCCCCCGCGGTCTCCGCCGGTCACCAGCGAACACGGACAGACGGTGACAGAATAACCAGGGGAGGCCGCAGGGGGCTGTCCTGCCCCACGTGGACCAGCTCCCCGATGGGGGCGGGGCCGCTGGCAGGGCCAGGCCAATGAGCGCCGCCGCCGGGCTCACCCGGCCCAGCACGCTTGGCCAGCCGGGGCTACGTCACTCAGGAGGCGGGGCCTCGGGCCGGCGCGAGGCGCGGCGGGTCACGCGGGTCGCGGCGCCGGCTATAAGTAGGGGCCGGGGCGTGCTCAGCCGGAGTGATGGTTGCCGGCGTGTGCGGCGTGCTTTCTCTTCCTGGCTGCTGAAGCGCCCGCAGCTGCGTCCCGGGTGGGTCCGCGGTTCCGCTGTCCCGGGCCGTGTGCTCGCTGGCCTCAGGTGCGTGCGCCCGTGGCGCACGCCCGCCGCCGCAGCCCTGGTCTCGTCGTCTCCGCTTGGCCCCGCGTTTCCTCTGGTGAGTGGCGGCGCCGCCCGGCAAAGGCTCTTTCTTCTCCCGGGGGCCGGGCGCGGACTCCGCGGCGGCGAGGGAGGCGGCGGGGCGGGTGTGG